TGCATTCCTAAAATGTTTAATTTGTATTATCATCTTGAAAATACATATGTATACAGTGCACTGAATAGTAAACTGCGGTTATTGGCAAATCACATGGTGAGCAGTCCACTTCATGCCTTATCTAATAAAATTGTTTATATATACAATGTAATGGAAAATATTCAAATCAAACAACCTGATTATTGAAAAGCATAATACATAATTATCCTTATATCTATTGGCTATAAGTACTATACATAATGTGTTATTTTCGTTGTATACACTAAAATTATCTTAATGTATCTGGGGATAAGTAACATTAATACAATTCCAGTATTGGAAAGTTTACAGAAATTCGAAGTACAAATAGTTCATAAATTTGCATTGAAACAGAAATGGTAAACTTGCAAGTGCCATGATCCATTATCCTAATCCAAATTTTGATAGAAAGATCCAACGAAACATACTCGGTTTCAGGTTGTTATCTTATTACAAAGATATATGATATATATATACACACACAAAGCAGTGAAAGTTATGTCTAGGGTATTCTTGGAACATCTCTTCCTCTATTGGCGCATATTTTTATTTTGTACGTTTAACATATTTTCTATACAACCGAAGATAATGTAAAATTTAATCTTTATGATTATGGTATTTGTAGTTATATATAGCTTAAAAATATTAAATTCCATCTATAGTTGTTGTTTTTATATTATTATATTTTTATGATATTTATGTTTGTACAAAGTAATAACGTAAACTTTAAGTGTTGAAATATATTTTTTTTTTTGTAACTTGATATATATATATATGTAATATGATGTCTATAATATATATTTCTCCAAGTCGAAATAAAGTGAAAAGAAGAATACTTAAAATTACTCCATTTCTCATCTTCTCTCCTCACGATTGCGACTTAAATTTAACCATCGCTGACGTAAAATTTCGCTAACGTTTGAAACCATTGCCACTTTTTACAACCGGTCATAACGCTCGATCAATAATCAATATTTAACAATCAATAATTGCTATTCGATTAATGATTTCGTTAATACGGGTTCGAATAAACTTTGCTAGATATTATTATTTATATGCATGCACTTGTGAGCCGTGCACGATGTGTGTGAGCTAAAGTGTTATTTACATACGGCTATTTGTACGGATAACTCGATTGATCTCTTGAATTTAGAATAATACGCCAAAGTCGGTATACATGTATTTGTACGCATGTGTGCCCGTAAGGCCGTCAGGAATGCGCTGGACAATACGTGATTACACAGAAATATATTCATGTACAAAATTCTAATATAAAACCGTGTGCAGCCATAACCACAGACGAGACAAAGGGTTACGTGAACACCAACCGAATGTCCTTTTTTACTATTTCTGTCCTTTAAGACGGGACGAGGACATATATTTAAAAGAGTACATCATGCAGTACAAGTGCTTATTACGATCACATTTAAGTATAGCTATTTTACAATTACATTATGAACAAATGTTATTCTGAAATTTGATTTGTAGGTATTTTAAGCTATATGATAGCAGTAGAACCTTTTTTAAATAAAATATGATAAATATAATGAATTACTTCAATTCATTTATGTAAGTTAACTATCATTTTTAAGCAATTACTAACAGTGAATGCATCATTATTCGGCAGATTTAGTATTTTATATTATTTATATAATTTACTCATAAGGTAAAATTCCAATAGAAGTCCCTTATAAAAATTTCAAACTCGTAATTACATATAGAATATGGGTGTACCCGTATATGTGTGTCTGTAAAATAAATAATCAGTTGATTTTTTATAAATATAACTCATAAACTTTATTCTAAAATGTGTATTCAAATTGTTATGCATAATATGTGTACCTATTACTTTGTTCCATCATTATAACTTTTTTCGTATTGAAAATTGCTTTACTTTACCTTCGTAATCAAAAAATAACGATTTGGAAAGTTATGTTTTTACCTTCAAACTGAATACAAATACAAACTACGACACGTGTATAGCATTTAAATAGGTCTGTTATAATAGTTCTCACTTTCCTCGATATAATAATATGTGCAGTACCTATGGGATAGTCGATACTCAAATTAATTTTATCCCTGTCGAAAATCTTTGTAAAGTTTGTAAGCACGAAACAGCTTGTTATACATTTTAAATGATAAACATTGTACATTTATTCGACTTATTGTAGTATGAGTTCCATATATTTTGGTAATTAAAAATAAATATGGTTAATGTTTTTAACTTAAAATTAATTGGACTAATCTCTATATTGTTTAGATTTGCCTAATTAAATTTTCAAACTCATATATTATCACTATAAATGTTATTACATTGTATGCATATTATAAATAAAATAATTAATCATACTTAATACACTTAATACACTTAAATTAGGTTCAATAAGATTTGTAATTATCATTTTGTGTTGTGTAAATAGTTTTAAGTAATTATTATTATTACAAACAATAAATATATATAATTATTTAATAGCAAATATGTTTTTGTAAACTTTTTAATTGAAATATCACAATAATATTATATTATTATTTGTCAAACTTATTTTTTAATTTGAGTTGTGTCGATTCCATAAATAAACTTTAATAATCCAAGAACTAAAGTTATTATTATTATTATTTTAATATGGGTATACAGTTTAAAATTAATTTATAATATTATGAGTAAAAAACTTGATGAACGATAATAAGCTTATCCTGGGTTAGTTCTGGGTTAGATACCGTTTATATATAATAAAAATAAACTTCAAACATATTCATAATACTTACATACATCAAAAATAGAAGCAGAATATTTAATTTGTTTTTATTTATTATTATTCATCAAAATAATATGAATTCTTCACATGTAATAAATTCATAATTTAAGCAATTATTAAAATGTCCAGTACTTTAAAATTCTATACACTTGAAAAAGTTAAATTTAAGCTAAGAAGCAATTTATTATTAATTTTGTCAAATTACAACAAAATGCAATGCATTATAAAATAATACTTATGTCACATCCTTTATGGTTATTGTTACTATTATTACTATTATTATTTAAGACAGTAGGTAATCATTAAAATGTTTATTTTAAACATAAAATCACAATAAATCACAAAACAATAAATCCAATTAATTAGAACAATAATATATGATGGTCATTCTAAAGTGTTCATGTTGTTCAAAACGCTACAATTTTAAATGGTTGTTGCATTTTTTGTTAAAATGTATATTTTCTTTTAGTAAGAATAAAAGTAAAATAAACTTTTATTTATTATAAAATTAATAATTCGTACATCATTATTCGAACATTATAGTTTGAAAATTAAAACTGTAATAATTTATAAAAAATGTATAAAAATAAAAAATGAATGCTGGAGTTATGAGTTATGACAAATAAAAATATTTTATGAACAGCTTTGGATTTTTAATGTATAGGTATTTTCATATATATTATATAGACAATTTTTTTTAATATAAATTGTTGTAATAAGTAACGGTATTGTATAAAATGTATAATAATTATGTTCGTAGTACATTTTTTGCAGAAATGATTTATCTTAAGTAGTGTCACTGCTCCCTTCTCTCAAGTCCACGTGTCTTTGTTTTTTTTTTCTCTATCAACTTATTATCCATTAACACTATATAAAATATAGTATATACTATATAAAACAACTATATTTTTGGCGGTTCTTAGAGTTGATACTTGCAAGATTCAATTAAAATAGACCGTATACTATATTATGTTAATTTGAATCACCAGTGCTTGATATGTCCGTAACATATTCAATAACACGCAATTTTTTGTATACATTTTTTTATTTTTTTGGTCATCCACATTTATAATTACAAATTACGTTACTTTTTTATAGTATGAATAGAGTAATTTAACTTTAAATTATTACAAACAGGTTAGAATATAACGAATGTTAATAAAAAAATAAATAATTTACAACAAATCAAAAAAAAAAAAAGAAAAAAATTATAATAGAATCAAAAAATCAAAACAAGATAATACTACTCATACACATTTTAAAATGTAATAGAGTTGTGACTTTACCGTCGATAGTGACAGTCATTAATTTTGTTCAAATTTGTACCATCTGGTCAAACTTGAAAAAATCTTCACCAAATACTTCAATAGTATTGTCTATATCACTCACATTGGGTCCCGTAGAGTTAAAGTTGCTTTTGAGTCCTAACTCAATGCCAATGCATGCCTTGTATCACCAAAGTTTGTTTCGCCATGGATCAAATAAATCAATTACATCAATCAATCCATAAATTCCCAAATCCCTGATTTATAGGGTAGAAGTCATACGATTCAACAGTGTATTTCGGAAGTGGACTTTGGGGAAGGCCTTGAATGTCAGTTCGAAACCAATGGATTCCTGCGTATAAATACCAAATGTCATGACAATATATGTCTGGTTGAAATTAAAATCCTATTTCCCAAGTTTCCAGAATCTTTGAAAATCTACAGAGCCATTCACGTTATATTTCCCAGAATTCGCTCTTCTTGATTTCTCTGCAGCTTTCAAAAAGTATAGATACTCAGGGTCAATGACTGACTTCCTTTTTTATCAAAAAATAAGTGCGTCGACTCGGCACTTCTTCAAAAACGTTAAACACCATTCGTGACAAACAATCTGTTCAACCCTTAATTCCTCATACTCTGTATAAGATCTATGGACTGCCTCAAAAAAATTCAAAAGATGTGTTTCATGAACTTCTTTTCCACAAAACGAAAACTAGTTCCCTTGTTTTTGCAATAAGGTAACACCATCCCCTTATGCCCCTTATTTTCAAGAATTAAATCTTCAATCTCTGGCGGTTTGTCCTTAGACCAATCCTAGTTCTCATCCTTCCACTCCCATTTTTACAAAATCAGAGTTAACAATGGCTCTGTTTTCTCGTCCATCTCCTGCTACTGATTTGAATCTTATTTCTATTATTATGATTAAACATATCTCAAACAAGAGAATCGATATCCTACTTACCATCATCAGCTCCTTGTGACTATGTGGCATAGTCCCTGAATCATGGTTCCACTTTCACGTCATTCCCATTCCAAAACCCGAACTACTCCTACTGCATACCATTCTAGGTTAACCACTGATATCAAGGGTGTTGATTGACTGGGAAAAAATTATAATTACTAAGGTAATATCATGCTTAAAAATTTTGAATATTAGTCGAAGTTATCGAGTTATCAAATTTCATCGTTCATCGGATCAGTATTATTCATACAGTATTCAATATACTATTGTAAAAACCACGGCCCCCTAGTCAGCCAGGAAAGCCAAAATAGTGGTAGGGGCCGAAAATCCCGGGTTGACCAACCGACGTCTACTGAAAACCTAGTTGGTACCACGGGAGGGGGAGCCCCACCGCACTACGGACCAGCCTAGCCGCTCCAGACCCGATACCCCCAAGGTTGAGGTGCCTACTTCGGCTGAAATGTGGTGTCTGTTGCACAGCGCGAGATAGTAACAAAACCACAACACCCAGTGAAGGCTGCGGGTCCCAATAGGTTTCTCGTGTCCGCGGCATGAAAGGGTACGGGCCTCGGCTCGATGATGGTGGTCCATGCGATGACTCGGGCCCTATGGTCATACCTTAGGGTTCGTTTCAACCGCGCCTCTTGAGTAACGCCACGCGTTAATAGAAGGTGCGTGGGCGATAAGGCCTTGGCCACAAACCGGTTGCTTCTTATACATTATAATAGTTTACGATACCAAATTTTTTATATTGATAGTGATGGTATAGTTCAGTGGTCTTCAACCGGTGGGTCGCGACCCAATTTTGGGTCGCGTAAGCTTTAAAATTGGGTCGCGATAAGTTTTCTGTTTAAAATTTAAAAAAACCATATTTATATATATTATATAATTTATGTCATATAATACTGCATAAAAATGTTTTCGAATAGAACCGAAACTGTACTATTTTATACTATTTTAAATTTGTAGAAGATTAGAATGAACCCTTTTTCTCAAACACTCATACTAAATTAGAAAAAAATCCTCAAACCAATATGCATATATACCACTAATCATTAACTATTGAACACATAGTGGATGAGTGAACACAATTTACCTCAATACGCACCGACCTGAACATGCCATCCAACATAGTAAAAGTATTTAGCGAAAAACAAACTCTGAAAATTGTCACATTATTAAGTATCACAAATTTTATATTAATAAATTTTAATTTACATCTAACTTCACCTATATAATATTTTATATGTAATATTGTAATTTTAAATCTAACACCTAACACATCAAATATGTAACATCTAATAGCTAATAATATTTGCTGTTGAATCCTCAATCTTCAAATAAAAGAAAAAAATAATAAATAATCAAATGAAGTGATAGGTTGACTTAATTTATAAATCGCATTTACATTTCATATATTTATAAACTGCATTGTATTAAATTGAGCTGAGGTGGAGGTATTTCATGTGAAAACAGTCCGGGACAAATATCGCACTCATTTCTTTTGTATATCAAAACATATACATTTTTCGGTATCATTACATGTATTTTTTTTTTTTTTTTTTTTTATTAAAAATTAAATATTTCCTAAATATCTAAAAAATATCAATTTTGATTTATTTTGTTATAAAAGCACTTCTAATATGGCATACATTAAATAATTTTAACTTTTTTATTTGGCTTTCATGGCTATCGAAATTTACATGGGTCACGAAAAATGTTTGGTAAGAAAAGTGGGTCGCAGGTCGAAAAAGGTTGAAGACCACTGGTATAGCTCATAATAATATAACACGTATACAACTAAAAGAGCAAAAAAGAACATTTTTTTGAAATTAGGATTTTAATTGTTATAATAGTAATTTAAAATTATATTATTAAAAAAACCGATATGTTGTATCACTTTTATTTTAAACAGAATTTTTGTATCGTGGTATATGAAAAAAAATAAACCAGTACAATAAAAAATGTTGAAATATGTTGTGTTGTACGAAACGTTTTAGTGTATTTTTAGTACGTTTAATATAGGATCAAGTATACTTATTGTTGGAAATAATAAACTATTGGCCTAACTATCATCGGTGAAAAAAGTTTTTTTTTAACGTAACTAACATTTTCAAATGATCAATTACAACTGCAAATCACTATTTTATTCTGCAGAAGAACATGTTTAGGTCTATGAGAGTAAAAACCACACTACGAAAATAAATCAGCCGCTGAACCTCGCAAGATGGATTCACTGTGAATCACTTGAACACTATATACGTCAGTCACAGCTGTATGATAACGCGTGTAAATAGTACATTATACACACACACAGAGTGGATCTTACAAAACTATAATTTCCAATTGGGTAAACAATTTACGAGTATGTTTAGAATTTTTTCTCAGTTTCAGTGTTTTTAAACATATATGTATACACATAACGCTCATATATGCACCTATTTATTTATCGGGCCAAAGGTATGCATATAATATATAGCCACGCACGTGTGTATACGGCGAACAGTACTATATGTTATTCATCGCAAAATATTAGCTAATAAATTGCTATAATTGAAGAAAATATGGAATAAATATATGACACTTAAGTGTACATATTTACGAATCGTACACATATAAAAAAAAAAACCTAAAGTAAGAATAGCAATGCACTTGCACAAATGATGATCACTGTCCGTTCACGTTTTCAGTTTTACAATGAAAATTAACACACGAAATTTGCAAAATCACAAAATTCTTACTCGCTCTAAATAGAACAGTGCAGACATATCCGTTGACCGCAAAGATTTTTGATTTTACGCCAAACAAAACGTGTTAATACAAAACACTTTTAGTTTTCCCAAACATTTCTACATTGACTTTAAATGTTGCCTACATTAAAAGTCGGTTTTTTTCCATTGTACAAAACGGCATTTTGTTAGAAAAACACGAACAAAAAACACTTCAATTTTTTTAGAAATTTTCTAATTATAGTTAATAAACTGAGAATAAAATGAGATAACATGATATGTATGAAATGCCACTAAGAAAAAAACGTTTTCTAAGATAAATTCATAAAAATAACCGGCGAAAAATATGTATATTATAACAATTAAAAAAAAAAAAATTATTATTATTATTATTATTATTCTATTAAAAAAACTTGTTAAGTTTTTTTAATTGATCAAGTAATTATATTATGCAAATTTTAATAAAGTAGGCATCAATGTTTGAATATGAAGCAAAACAGAAGTGCTAAACTAAAATAAATTTGGGGTCGAAACTAATTCCTGAGTACCCATTTCACCACCACCTATTTCTTCATATATAATATTATTGTGCTCTATATTAACATCCGTGTTATTTCTAACTTTAACAATTTGATAGAAAAAGTTACCTATAGATAACATTAAATATAACACAATCTCATAATTTATTCTTAACATAAGTTAACAAAGATATCGATTATGCTTATTTTACACATAGCTCTTCAGATTTTTATTTTAATAAAACTGGAATATTTTTCCAAATGTAAAATAGGTAACAAAAATGATAAAAAAATACTTACTTTTTTCAGGTTTCTTCAAGGTTATCAATTCGTACTTCAGCAATATATAATACAACAAAAAAAAGAATCTGGAAAACAATACAAAATATTTAGAGTTTCTTAATAAAGAACATATTTATATATTTTACATTTATATATGTAATACATTATAGTTATGTATACGTAAACCTAAGCATACCTACTTGACGTATAATGAGTATACCATTTACCAGCGATCTATGCATGAAAAATGAAAAAATAATGTGACTTTTAAAAGTAGATTTATACATAAAAGATAAAGTGAAGAGAGTTAGATGACATTTATTTTTCAATTTTATAAAGTATGATCAACGTATTCATATTTTTATTATAAATCATAAGTTGTTAATTTAATATAGTATACTCAGTTATACCCCAAGATGCCACAAACAATTGTTTTTTATTATTATTTCAACACTTAATCTTTTATTTTAAAGTTATTAGAATATGCCATGTCTGTTACAGAAAAATAATACATAGTTCATATTTTAATTTAATAAAGATATATTAACAAATAGTTTTAAATATTATAACTATAATTTTACTGAATTTATAAACTCATACGATATTCGAAAACAAGGAAAACGATAAAAAAAATACAGAGACACTATACCGCACAGTTAGATAAAAACTGTAACAACTTTTTTTACAACTGAAATTGCAACGATTTATTTGGTAGTGATCATGAATTTGTTATTCAACAAAAAGTATTTACAGCGGTATCTCTTTGAAAGTTATCAAGATGGATTTAAAACGGTTTTTTTGGTTCATACAACTTCGTTTGTAGAACCGAACCATATAATTAACTAAAAAATATCCACTTTTTGAGTCATTACAATTTTGATCTGGGTGTCTGATATGAAGCTTATACAATGTATTTATACTTTAAATTTATAATATGTATATTAAATTAATAAAACTATAGGCAAAATATCTATTGTAAATAATTAATTGTATTTAAATTGCCTATAGTAATTAGTATAATTAATTGCTGTAATAGTATTATAACTATTATATATTGTTTATAATATTTAATTTACACATTATTAAAAGTATTTAATTGTGGTAACAATCTGCAAATTATGTTTCAAACAATAATTTAAATTTAAAAATTCTGTTTAATATTTCATTGAATATGCTAAGAACATGCTAAGTATTATTACTGCGTTGGTATGAACAAACGTTGGTCATCATAGAAAAACTATCATAAACAATAATTTATTATTTCAATTATTATATATTTGACTAACGATCTCAATTAAATAATTGTTCAAATACGCATATTTACTTGGAAAATTAATTGTTATTGTATGGAATAAAAGCTAGTATCAATAAAAACTATTATACATTTTAAGTTAGAAGATACTGTTCATAGTCTTGTAAAATTGTTGTGTATCTTTAAATATGCCCGTTATAATATTTTTATTATAGGCTTTAAGAAAATATTTTCACATAATTAATATTGAGAATAATTTTAAAATTTAACAGTTGCAGTGAAAACACATGAACTTATTTACTATTATAGTACCTTATAGTTTTCAAAAGATATCTGAAATTCATATTATTACATACTTTCTCATTGAAAAATTATAAATGTATTAAAGTTTGATTTATTTCGATAAAAAAATATATTTCCTATTTTCTAATACTATGAAAGTAACAACACCGTATAAAATATTTTTATTTGAATTTTAATCGATTTTAATTAGATAATACTAATGGTCAATATGTATACTTAGGGGTATAAAGGGGTCAAATATTGAAGAAATAGTTCATTATTCATAAACCTTTATAATTCAAATATGGGTAGTAGAGCCGTAAAGAAAATTTAAGTTATTTTTAATAAATTACTCCATTCATCTTAACATATAAACTTGCAAATAAATAATAATTGATGCAATATTTGATATTTTTATTCTAGTTCATGTATATGTAAATAAGTGGGTGTTTATATATTTTTTGTGTTATATATAATTTATAACAAATATGAATTGTCTTAAAAAAATGGTTGTTATTATTAAACGCGTAAAACGCAAAAAAAAAAAAAAAAGAAAGAAAAATGTTTAATTAAACTGTAACTTAAGTATTTTTGAGTATTTTTACATTTATATAAAATTATATTAAAAACTTCGAAATATTATAATTTACTGAGAAAATGAGACGTGTTAACAGCACACTACATACCAATCATAAATAATAAAGAGGAATTATGTAATTTAATAAATATGTAATAATCGTTAATACAATTTATGTTGTAGTAACTCGATTTAATATTTATTCTCCACAATGCATAAATTTACAAGTTCATTGATATTAAAAATTGTGTAAATCGCGTACACTTAATTTTCCGTTCTTTGTATTTGGATCTAAAATTATGATGATTATTATTTAAGATATCGCAAGTAATTTTAAAAACAGGAATCTTATAAAATATATTTTGTCTAAAGAGAACTCTTGTACTTCTTTCAAATCAACGAGATTCGTCAAACATAATTTCAATTTACACATAACACTTAAATTTTTCATATGAGAATTAATTTTTGATCAAAAAAAAAATAATTTATTATCAAATGATAATTTTAATTTGTGATGGTCTAAGAATTATTATTCAAAAGTAAACGTGAGTAGATACTATATTGACTCAGTTAAAACAAGTAGTTATGTATTGACGCGGACTCGTGCGACAACCGTTAGCAAAACGCCGACCGTGGTTTTACATTTCTCATCAACCCTCAGACAGGGGACACGAACGGTCGCGACGACGTCCACCCGGCACCACCATTGAACCGGTCTGTTTTTGCCGACACCGTATACATTTCGCATACTTACACCGTCGATTCCATTCTTTATTTTGTTATTGAAAATTCGAGGTTAATTATGTAAATATTAAATATATATATATATATATATATATAGTTTGTCACTGTTGATATATATATATATATATATAATTCCGGATTATTATTATTATTATAATAATTTTTTTACGATTTTGTGCGTCACCCATACTCGCTGACACGAGTATGCACCACCATCACTCCTTGTACCACATCAGTATTAATGAAAAATATACAAAACTAATGATCCTGTCTATAAGAAGTACAGATTAGTCAAATCTGAAAATAAGAAATTTGAATTTTGTAAAGGTGGATAGTTTCAAATATTTGGGTTTTGATATAAACATCAGTAACAGCATAAGGAAATCAATGAAAGAATATTAAACACAAATAAATTTTATTGCAGCATAAAAATTTACAAGAAACTGTTATCAAGAAAATCTAAAATTATCTTATGAACATACCTTGGTTCAATAATATCGTAAACATATTTTTTTTTTGTTTTAAGGAGATAATTCATTACTATTTCAATATATACATAATTGGATTTTTTCTTTTTTTTTAATATATTACCTATATTGAACATCGTATACTTGAGATAATAGTAAAATGTATAAAAAATCGGTAGTATATATTTTGCGAGTTTATCTTAAACGAGATTTTGAAAATTAAAATTTAATTTTTCATTAATTTTCTTTTTGCTCAAGACTACCCAATATTTGTGTGCATAACATGTATCAATATATATAAATATAAACATAAATAAAACTGAAACTGAAAAAATCCAAAACATTATCTTCGGACAAAAATCGATTTCAGTTCTCGCTTAGGTTCCTAAGAAAATCAAAAATCGGTTTCGATAAGATTTCGGTTGCAATATTTTCAAAAGTTTCCGGTTAAAATACCGGTATTTTTAATTTTGGATGCAAAACCTAGTTCAGCTATATTAGGTAATTTTGAAATTGAATGCTTATTATCATTATTGTCTGTAATTATTAGGCTTAAGGACTTCTAGCATTTGCATACTTTTTTTAATTATTGTTAAATATAGCGGAGTGCGAAATAAATTCGTTTCTCGATGCCATGATATCAGATCTAAAATTTGAATGTACATATTTTTGCATATTTGATAGATTTTGCAGGAGAGTGCATATTTTAAAATTTTTATGCTTACTTTGCATATTTTGACAATTTTTTTAAATTTAAAATTTAATAACTATAGATACTATAACTATATATACATGTTTCAAACGATCGAAAAAAAAATGTACTTAATAATTAGTACTTAATATTTCCAGTAATATGCTATCTGCAAACTATCTCACATATCTCGTTATAATTTTTGTGTAAGTATAAATAATAAATCCCCCCAGGGCCTAAAAAAAAAAAGAAAATTGTTATATTATTGATGAAGTGTAATATATTCGTAGTTTCATAATTACGCTTTGAACTTAAGATATACAACTATACAAATATTATGATAATTAAATAATTATATTGATAGGTGTTTGAAAAGTTTTGTTAACTATGCTATTTTTATATTCCAATAGCTATTCATTTACTGTAATGTAAGAGTAAACTGTAAATTGGTAAAAAAGTTGTATAAAATAATAACTGTTTATAGCAGTTATTTATCTTATTTATCTGTACAACGAAAAAAAAAAGATAATGATTATTTTTGTTAACCCCTCCCCCCAGAGCAAGATCGAATGTACGCCACTGATATTATAAACCAGTATCGATCGTATCTGGATATCGACCAAATGTATATAAAGATAATAGTTGATATAGAATAATAGATTATTTATTTAGTGTTTAGTTCAGTCGATTATTATCCGTCGTTATTTTTGCGTCTCACAAACACGCAACGTCGAATCATACATAAAACGTCATACGTATTTTGTAACATTGTGTAATGCCGGTAGTACAACACTCTACGAGTAGCCGACTATAATGTTTTGTTTCGGAGTTTAAAGATACATTTACATCCGATGGACACGTTTTATTTTGTGTACTACTATGTGGTATTTTTTTTTTTTTTTTTTTTTTAATGCATATAAACATAAATGCATATTATAATGATTTTAGAACCATATTTGTGTATTTTTTAGAGCTATAAGTCCCTAAACCTAGTAATTATATTTCTATACAAAAATTCAAGATCGCTCTTTTTGACTGGTGGTTCTTGTTTCAAATTAATGTATCAGGTTCTA